GATGCAATATTTATACTAGGTCTACACATGAGAAGCATATTTAGTGTTGAAATTGTACATGGAAGCATAATAAGTAATATGCGTGACTTAAATATAAAAAAAGTACTTCATTTATTATTAATTGATTTTAAGTTGATTACAAGTTTTATATTTTAACCTATATATCCAATTTTCACATATCCTATTTAAAAATTTTAATTTTCTTAAACATTGTTCTCAAAATATAAACCAAGAATTCATATGGTAAAACAACACTTCCTAGGCTTCTAGCCAGTGAGCTTAACAGTTCTCCTTGTTATATTCATATTGCAGGCATCATCTTTGCGGATTCCATACCATATTCTCCCGAGAAGTCCTATTATAGACGTTGTTGCTGTACGGTCACAGACACAATCTGTTGTTGTTGTACTTATATAATTAAAATTTTATATATATTTATTACATTTAATATTTATATAATAATAATAATTTTTAAAAATAAAAATAATAAAATACAACAACAAAAAAAAAAAGAAGATCATACATGTAATTTATAAATAATAAATATTAAATCAAACACATATTACACCTGCAAGGCTGCAACTAACAAATTTTTTCTTCCTCGTACTTTTAGGCAATGGTGAGTACATACAACTTTAAATTTTGATTCTTTTTAACTTCTTTTTTTTTTTTTTCTACTAATGATTTTTAAGTCATGGTTTTTGTTTATTATATAAATGATTTTTTACCTTCAAACTCCAAATTTAACATGATAAGAATTATAAAGTCAAAAATATGAATATTAAGATATTAAAATAGATATAATATCATTAGCTACTATCCCTTTTTAACAAACTGAAACAGAAGATTAAAAAGCCTATGAGTCTTAAAACTTGGATATCTTATTTAAAGAACCTTCATTCTGTTATTTAATTTATTTTCATTTTTTATTTTTTGATACATATTTTTCATTATTTATTGTTAATTATTTTACTGAATTTAGTTTTTTAATAATATATAAATTTGAGTTTTGGATATGAAATCAAATTTTAGTTCTTTATTATTATTTTAAATTATATTTAAGTTTAGATTGGAATAACTAATATTTTATTAAATTTTTACTAATTTTATTTAAGTTAGGATTGAAAGTAAATAATATTTTATTAAATTTTAATTTGAAAAAAAAATTAAGTAAAATATCATTTAACAAATATATAAGTATACACCCACAAATTACCCACAAATTACCTGATACTTGTTGGGTTAAATAATAAATATAGATTTTTAAGTAAGTACCAAACTTAAAATGTTACATTCACAATTTTTAAATCAAACATCAAATATAACTCATACTCAATCCGTACCAAAAATCAAGTATCAAATATAACTCATAATCAATCTGCACCAAAAGATGCTCACCCCTACCTCATAGGTATTGAGGCTTAAGCTGTTATGTTTTATTAAGAAAATACAGAGCAATATATATACAGTTCAGGAATTGTCTAACCTAGGAAATAAGGAAACTACAATTAAATACAATATACATATAATATATTATGGAGATTTGGTTTCCTTCTGCTGTGAGGTGGAGTGATAGATATGATGAGATTTGGTTTCCTTCTGCGAGCTGGAGGGATTGATCTGATATCGCCCCCGCAAGACGGAAGAGCTATCAACGATGCCGAGCTTGGAGCGTAACAAGCAAAACCGAGCAGAGGAAAGGGGCTTAGTAAAACCATCTGCGAACTGATCACGGGTAGAGATGTGAGATACATGCAGGAAGCCGCGATCCACAAGGTCCCGAACAAAGTGAAGATCGATGGCAATATGCTTCATGCGAGAATGAAGAACAAGATTCACACTCAATAGGTGGCACTGACATTGTCACAGAAGATGGCAGGGGAGTGAGGAACAAAGACACCCAATTCAGAGAGGAGATTGCGAACCCAAATCAACTTAGAAGTAGTGGCAGCTAGAGCACGATATTTCGCTTCAGTGGAACTGCGCGCAACCGCACGCTGTTTACTAGCCCGCCACGAGATTGGATTAGAACCCAAAAAAACAACATAACCAGTGGTGGAGATAGAGGAGTCCCGATCACCGACCCAGTCGGAATCAGAATAGGCATGGAGTGACAGAGATGGCTGTGGCCAAAGAAGCAATCCATGATAAATAGTACCCCGGAGATACCGAAGAACACGTTTCAAGGCTTGCCAATGAAGATTAGTAGGCTGATGCATATATTGAGACAATCAACTTACAGCAAAGGAAATATCCGGCCAAGTAAGAGTAAGATATTGAAGAGAACCCAAGATACGTCGATACTCAGAGCCATTTGAAAGAGCTGAACCTGCCAAAGAACTCAAATTTGCACTGGAAGGAAGTGGCGTGGAGACGGGCTTCGCATCATCCATGTTAGCTCGACACAGAATATCAAGAATATACTTGTGTTGAGAGAGCAATAACCTAGCATGTGTCTGAATAACCTCAATGCCCAAAAAGAAGGTGAGAGGGCCAAGATCTTTGAGAGAAAAGCATTGCCCCATTTTGTGCACTAGAGAACGAAGTAGACCGGAGTCATTCCCTATGAGAAGAATATCATCAACATACACAAGGAAGTAAAGCCGAGTAGAGTCCTTGTGATAGATAAACAGAGAGTTGTCAGATTTAGAATTGTAAAATCCCTAAGACAAAATAAAAGATTTTAATTCCCGGAACCAAGCTCATGGAGCTTGCTTTAATCCATAAAGAGATTTTGTAAGCCTGCAAACAAAATGAGGTTTGTTAGAGTCAACAAAACCCGGAGGCTGTTGCATATATAGATTTTCCTCTAATTTGCCATGAAGAAAGGCATTATTAACATCCAAGTGTTGTATGGGCCATCCATGACTGACAGCAAGAGATAGAATAGTCCGAATAGTTGTTGGTTTAATAACTGGACTGAAAGTGTTAAAATAATCAAAACCAGGCCGTTGATGAAAACCTTTGGCCACAAGACGCGCCTTATAGTGCTCAATACTGCCATCTTTGCCTCGTTTAACACGAAAGACCCATTTACAACCAATAAGATGCTGATCAGGAGTTGGGGGCACCAGTTCCCAAGTACCTTGCCGAACCAATGCAGTAAACTCTTCCGACATGGCTTGTCTCCAAACAGGTTCTTTCAAGGCTTGGGATACACAGGTGGGCTTCAAGGAGGTGGTAGCAAGGGTAGGAGTGGTGTGGAAGAGTTGCTTGGGTTTGAAAATGTTGTTTTGGGCTCGGGTAACCATAGGGTGTGTTCGAAGAGGGTGGGTTGGGGCCAAGGGAGGGTTGGGAGAACCGGATGAGGTGGATGGGCTAGATGAATTGGAGAGGGTTGAGGAAGAGGAGGGAGACAAGGAAGGTGAGCCAGGGAGTGTGGGAGGGGGAAGGGTACGAGGACTAGGTGATGAGATTGGTGAGGATAAGGGAACTGGAAGTACCTGGGATGCATGAGCAGGTTCTGACGATGGCACGGGCTCGTGAAGGACACCATGGTACGTGACTTGCTCGGAACAATGTGGCGAGATTGGCATGTGATTAAGAGTTTGGGGGAGAGATGGGGACATGTTAGAAAATGGATGAAATTTATTAAAATCAGTAGAATTAGAGGAATTTTTAAAGGGAAAAATAGATTCATGAAATAAAACATGGCGAGAGTGAAATAGTTGGCCAGATTGTAAATCAAGGCATTTATACCCTAAATTTTCAATGGAGTAGCCTAGAAATAAACAAGGGTGAGATCTAGGTTGTAATTTATTGTGAGTGTAGGGACGCGGCCATGGAAAACTGAGACAACCAAAAACTCTTAATTTGAGATAATTAGGCTTATGACAAAACAGTTTTTCAAATGGGGAAATAGATTGAAGAACAGTAGTAGGCAACCTATTAATTAGGTAAACTGCCATTTGGAAAGCATAAGACCAATATTTAGGAAGGAGGGAAGATGTGTAAAGTAAAGATAAACCGGTTTCAACGATGTGGCGATTACGCCTCTCGCTTATACCATTTAATTCGGGTGTATATGGAGGATTTGTAAAAGTGGATATACCATGTTGAGATAGAAAAGGTCATAGAGCAATAAATTCGCCCCCACCATCAGAATGAAAATTTTTAATTTTGAGGTCAAATTGGGTTTCCACAAGTTGTTTAAATCGAGGAAAAATTAAGGCAACATCAGATTTACGTTTAATTGGAAAAATCCATGTATATCTACTGTAAAGATCAATAAATAAAAGAAAGTAGGAGTAACCATCAATGGAGATAACAGGGGCAGGGCCCCAAACATCAGAATAAATATGTTCTAGTGGAAATTGAGAGGTAATGGAAGAATTTGAAAAAGATAATTTGTGACTTTTAGAACAAGCACATGAATCACATGGAGAAAGAGTATTTTTATTAAAAATAGGTAATTGATAAACATTAATAATAGATTTTAGGATTTTTGTGGATGGGTGACCCAAGCGACAATGCCAATTTACTAATGAAACTCTTTCTCCTACTAAGGCAGTAGGCCTAATTCTGATTTTTTTCGAGAAGTTGATATGTCCCATGAACGTTTGGACCTCGTGCCATCGTCGCCCCCGTTGCCCGATCCTTCAGTAAAAAATAAGAAGGGTGAAATTCAACATAGGCATTAGCACTTTCACATAATTGAGAAATAGATAATAGATTGCGGGAAGCATGGGGAACACATAAGATATTATGCAAGGGAATAGAGGTAGAGGGAGTAAAAAGTGTGGAGTGCCCCACATGTGTAATTTGCAAACCTGTTCCATCGCCTATTTGGAGTTCATCTGGTCCATGATATTCAGAGTCTAATGCAAGGTTGGCCAGGTCAGTAGTGACATGGTGAGAAGCTCCAGAATCCAAAAGCCAAGTATCAGGGGACCCAATAGAGGATGTAGCCATGCTAGCAAGAGGGCCTTGTTGTGTCCAAAAGAGGGAACAAGTTCGAGCAGAATGACCAGGGGTACCACAAAGCTGGCAAATGATGGGTGCAGGCCTGTTGGGGAACCGAGGGAAAGGACCACGCCTTCTGTTGATAGTGGGCTGGCTTGAGATTGGGCCATTACGAGAGCTCCTACTGCTTTGAGCAAGTCGACCACCAAGTGGACCAGCAGATGAAGAGGAGGAAGAGGAGCCTGCAACAGTTTGTGAGTTAGGAAAAGCAGCAAACATGGCACTCACCGGAGAGGAGTCAAGTTTGGGTTCATCTCGTTTTAGGCTCTCTTCATGGGCCACCAGCCGATCATGGAGATCATCAAAAGACAAAGAGGAGTCACGAGTATGAAGGGAGGCTACAATTTCATGAAACTCAGGGCCCAATTCATTTAGGATGTAGATAGTGAGATCGTCATCTGTGAGGAGGCGATCAACAGTTCCTAGTTCATCAGCAATAGCTTTGATGGAGCGGAGATAGTCAGAGACAGGACAACCATCTCGGCGCAAATTTTGCAGCCGTTCCTTGAGGGTGATGACTCAAGTGTGGGAACGGTTGGCATAGAGTTTCTCAAGAGTTTCCCATGCATGTTGAGCGGTGGGAGCAGCAGCAATATAGGGTGTGATGCTCTCAGAGACAGAGGTAATGAGAGCATGACGAAGGAGCTGGTCCTGTTGAGCCCAAGGATGGTAAAGTGGGTCAGTGGCCACTGGGCAAGGATATGTGCCATCAATGAATCCAAGAAGTTCATATCCAGCAAGCAAACTGGTGAATTGAGATCACCAGGATGGGTAGTTGTTCGGGGCGAGCTTGAGAGGGAAAGCACTAGCGTTGAAAGAGATAGGGCCTCGATTGGTTGGAGTGAGGAAAGTGGCAGCGGAATTGGGGGTTGTTTCATCGACTGCAGGGGTGGTGCTGTTGGAGGAGGCCATGGGTATTGGAAATTCTCGTTTGAGAGAGAGGGGCTCTGATACCACTATTGAGCCTTAAGCTGTTATGTTTTATTAAGAAAATACAGAGCAATATATATATAGTTTAGGAATTGTCTAACCTAGGAAATAAGGAAACTACAATTAAATACAATATACATATAATATATTATGGAGATTTGGTTTCCTTCTGCTGCGAGGTGGAGTGATAGATCTGATGAGATTTGGTTTCCTTCTGCGAGCTGGAGGGATTGATTTGATAATAAGGGTCGTTCCACTCGAGGGTAAATTGTTCTATAAATTATGTGGGCTTTGGGCGTTTAAACCAAATGAAAGAATTCGGTGCGCACCGATTTATTAAGAGGCAGGGGCACAGGGGTTACAATGCAGGAATGGAGAGGCTCTTCATCCACTGGAGGCAGAGGCAGCTGAGATGAAGGCGGATGAAGGCAGAAACTAGCAGCATCAGAAAGAAAGTGGAAGAAATGAAATCTGCTGCCGAAGAAAAGAAAATTGAGCTTGAATTGGAGAAGCTGACACGTGATCGACTCCTTGTTGAACTACAGCTTATGCAAGAGGCAGAGCAGGCCCTTCGGGAGATTCTGTTCCTGCCAAATTAAAACAACAATATGGAGTGCCTCACTTTTTTTTTCTTTTTTTTCTTTTTGGTGGGTTAATAGAATGAGTCATTCTGTTGAACAAAGTAGGACATCCCAATGCTTTGAAGATTTCTGCTTAGATATATATCTGGTGCTACTATAATCTACCCTTTATTGTATTAATAGTAGGTCTTCTCGTTGTTGTTCTGTTAGTTAGGTCATAATGTGTATTCTTCCTTTAAATATTTTCAAGCTCCTATATATTTGAAGCTTCATTGCTCGGAATTACTGTACTAACAGGCCAAAAAGTCAGAGACAGAAAGTCAAAACTAGGAATTCTGTAATTTCTCTTCGTGCGATATGGAAGAATTTCTAACATTAATTATGTCAAAATCCCTTCTTTGAACATTTATGGAACTATGTCAAAATCCATTTGACTAGAAGGGAAAGGAATTTCCTGATACACTGTCTCCTGGAGTCTAATTTGGTTTAATGTGATCTTGATGCATGTGCCGTTTTGACATGCACTTACAAGTAAGCTATAATGGGTATTCAAATTTATATGAATTTGAGGTTTTAAATCTTAAATTTGAGTTTATTTTTTTATATATTAAATGATAAATTATATATTAAAAGATAATTTTTTTCTTTTTAAAATTTTTTTTTATAGTTTTTAATCATCTTAAGATTCAAATTTAAAATATTTATTTTAAAATTTCAAACTCATTCAAGACACTCCGTGAGGCTTTAAATTTGAGTTTTCAATTTAAAAAATTAATGATAATTTATTTTTTATATAAATGGCAGTAAAAAATTATAAGTTTGAGTAATTAACATTCAAGTGGATAAGTAAAGAATTGAGAAACAATTGCATTCTATTACTTGAAATAATAAAAAAGAATGATCCCACGGTAGTGAACCAGTGATTGCAACCATATTTGGCAATTAACTAGTGGAAATTAATTTCAGAATTTTTAAGAAAGCAGTTAGTTACTCCATACGGACTGAGTATAAATTTTTATTTTAAATTTGTTTGTGTTGGAATGGTATGCTTTGGTCAGTTGCTTTGATGTTGAATTAAGACTATTCACTTCCGATGAATCACATATTCAATCCTCACGGCACGAGATCTTTTTCTTCCTTTCCCATTAACATTTGTAAATGATTTTAAATTGTTCAAAAAACTTTGATTGTGATGACTGAAATAGTAAAAAATGAGAGGAATGCCCCTGAAATAATTAATTAAATTATTTATGAAAGGCATTTTTTCACTTGTATGATTAAAGTTGGAACTTTAATTTTCCTCTCTTATCACTCTTTTCATAACTATTTTATCTAATTAACATGTTTTATAATAAAATTAATAAAAAGTGAAAAGAACATTAGTGAAATAAGGTTTTGAATTGCTTCGATGTTATTTGAAACAATAAATTACTAATGAATCACAACTCAACACTTAAGGGCATAGATTTGTCCAATAACTACAAATGAAATAATTTATAAATAACCATAAAAATACTCGAGTCAAAATCTAAATATATTCATACTAACAATACATATATATATATATATATAATTCTATTTTTATAAGTAAGGTGTAGGGAAACAAAATTTTATGTTAAGCCCTTAAACTTTCTCAAATCAACGTGTAAACCTTAAACTAGTTTCAATGCGGATAAGACTCTAAACCCAACAAAGCAAGCAAATCTGCCCCTCAATTAACTATTACTGTTAAAGTCTGTTAGTTTAGCTGACTTTATAGTTAATAGCGAGCGTTGCAATTTAAAAGAAATGGTAATGGCAATTTAGTCATTAAATTTATCAAATTTTCAACAAAACTAATCCCTCAACTTTAACTATTTTAACAAAATGAAAATTTATCGAGCATAAAAGAGAAGGGAAGCTAGAGCTTCCGAAGCATGCAATTGCCTCAAAATCTCTCATCTTTCTCTTAGCTTTTCTTCTTTAAGAGTTCAAGGGCTCTGGGGCTCTCGAATGTGGCTGCTTTCCGACTTCGTGATTGCAGTCCGACCATGTTGAGCATGTCACATCTTCCATCGGCGCCCAATCCCGGGTGCATTCGATTTCTTTATGTAGCTTCCTCACTCTAATCCCTTTGCCTTACAAATGGTATTGGAGCCCGTCTTGGGTTAATTGATGATGATGCATGCTGTTTTTGGCCATGGATTTGTGTTGTTGGCAAAACCCATACCTTGACGCTTGTTAATGGTAACTTGATGCATGCTTAATATTTCTTCGTGTTTCTTGGCACATATGATCTTGCATGCATTAGAATTAAATCTGCATTTTCTCGGTAGCTAAAGTCTCTTTGTGTATAGAGATATTTCAAATCTAATCTTGCATGGCCAAATCTTTAAAAAATTCTTACAAATTGTAGCGAATGAGTCATGAAATGAGTCTTATATGGTTAGAAAGATCTTGGAATAAAATTTCCAACGGTATATTATACACTAAATTTGGATTAGTATAGAGGGAGATAGGGCCCTCAAAAGATTTGACGTTTTAAGGCAATGGAATGTCGAGAGATTGAAGGTGATTAAGGGGAAAATAGCACATGAACCTTAATGATTTCTCTTTGTGACAGAAAGGTCCTAACTATTTGGAAAAAGGTCCTAATAGTTTTGTTGAGGGAAAGGTCCTTAATTAGTTCTAGGTTTGTACTTTGTAATTTTATTTTTTAAAATTATTAAAGTTGAGGGATTAGTTTTGTTGGAAATTTGACAAATTCAAGGATTAAATTGCAACTGTTCATTTTCTTTTAAATTGCAACGGGTTATAACTAAAGGACTATAGCAGTAAAAGTTTACTGAGGGACAGATTTGCATACTTCGTTAAGTTTAGGGGCTTGCTCATCAATATGGATAAAGTTTAAGGGCTTAACAAAGGTTTTGCCGTGGTGTCATTGCTATCAATGTTGCCACAATAACCCACCCAACTGACTCAAGGTGTATGGGCAGTACAATTCAAACACATCCGCTTCCAAAATTTATATGATATGTGGTCTATACCTTATAGGGACGGAAGACAAGTGCACCTTCCAAGTCCAAATAACAATGGAGGCCACTTCCTAGGCCATATATATGGATTTTTTATAATTCGTTCACCACATATTATATACAACTTAATTAAATTAAGCAACACGACTACACATCCATAAAAATTAATGATGAATTGGTTCCTTGAATATAAGATGATCTATTTTTTTATCAATATAGTTACTATTTTATAATAAAGTATAGATCAAATTATAAAATTATTTTAATTATAAGATGCATGACTAATGCTTAAAAAATTAAGTTGTATGCACGGTATCTTGATTAGTAATTGATTCATGTGGAGATAAGTTTTCTTTTGTTGACCGCAAAACATAAATATTTCATTAATTTTTTCTTAACCTAATGGAATTTGGAGAAATGTTACAAAGTCGAAAAACCTTGTGGCTGGGAGAGGTGGGGACAGACTGCAGTGCCAATGGCCTAAGAGGCCATCTGGCCCGGTACAAATATTTCATTACTTAACAAAACTTGTCATTGATTAATTAAAGAATTGAAAGTAAACAACAAAATAAGGCCCAAAAAACACTAAAAGTAAAAGAAAGCCCTTGGTTCACCCCTAGTCCCTTGCCTTAATTGCAAGGGGCTTCCAAGTCAAAATTCTCCTTTTTCCCCCCAACTTACCCATGTTTAACCCAAAAAAAAAAAAAAAACCCCTAAAATGTGAAGATGTGATTGTGAGAAAGTATCCTTAAGTGAATATTCTAATTTTGGCATTCATAAGCCACCTTTGACAAAAACAATATTACTACATAATTTTTAGAGGGTTTTTTTTACTCAATTTTTTTTAGTTGTTCTTGTCTGACCAGGCATGCTTTTTTAAGAAACGCTTTTTTTATATATTACCAGTGGTTCCTGCCCCACTATATTGGGAATTTTGCTCTAAATTTATGGTAGTTGTCTATAGTTTTGGGCAATCAGAGTGTTTCTTCTTAGAAGAAAAATTATGTAAACATCATTTTAGCTAAATAATAGTTTTGCAAATAAGGAAATTGTTTTTGAATAAAGACCATGAACATTTAATTGTACTTTTTATTTTCTTGTCTTTAGATTAAATCCATAAACATTAAATTGTACTAATTTTGATCGGGTGGGATAACAATTTGAAATTGAAATTAAAAATAAATTTGGTGAGATAGCAATTTGAAATTGAATTTACGAGGGAAAATTAAAATTAAAAAAGGATATTATTATGAGATTAATTGTAAATTAAAATTAAAATTTTAATAATAAAAAAAGAGACAATCACTACTGGAGATTGAATTTAAAATTGGTGGGATAATAATATTTGATGATATAACAATTTAAAATTGAATTTTTGGGAAAAAAAATTGAAATTGAAAAGGATATTATAATGAGATTAATTATGAATTTAAATTAGGAATTTGATAAGGTATATTTTGAATCTTGAATAAATAATACAATTTAAAAAAGCTTTTTACCATAAAATTTAAATTAGATTTAATTAGTATTTTAAATTTGATCTATCTTAAACTTATAATTTTTTTTTAGAAAAGATAAAAATTCTTTAATAAATAGAAGAATTATCTAGACAACAAAAATTTTAGTGTCTTTATACTTCTTTTAAGTTTTTGGACCTTACTGTTTTTTCTGCCTTGATGGTAACAAACTTTAGTAAGTAATATTGATATAAATAACAATTAATTTTTTTAATAAAATGTAACTACTTAACAAAATCTATGTATAAAATGTTTTTTTTTAAAAAAAAAGTATCATTCGTATATTATAAAATAGTATAAATAAATTTATGTGTAGGTCAAATTAAGGTATAAAAAAAAAAACGAGGGAATATATTAACGGGAAAGTGGGCATCAGTCCCACCTCCAAAAAAAAATTTGGAGTCCCAGAACAAACGGCGTAGTTTTCTTCTAAAAAAACTTAGCCCTGTTGTTTGTCTTCTCTCAAAAATCCAGCCCCTGCTCCTCGCCTCCTCCGACAATCATCTCCATCTCCTTCTTTGCCCCTTCTACATCTCCATCGTCTCCTCACCTCCTCGACTCC